TGTATTCTGTAGTGTCATAGGCTATGAAATATCTGGGTAAACAACTAAAGTGCAAGTAGTGAATTCTCATAACAATCACATTCAAAATACACAGATTTGAAACCACTACACAGTTTACTCTTCAGTGGTGATGGTGAAGAATCCTATTTGTTCACTACAGTTGTTCTCTGTACAATGCTGACTAGTGGAGTTTCCTCAAGTAGTAAAAAGCCACTTATCCTGGAAATGGTAGATCAGACAGATTTGCTTTGCTCAATTTGCATTACATTTTTGCTGACAATGTTCCAGACAGATCTGTCTGAAAGCCAGGTCAGATGTATTTATTCTGAAAGAGTTACAGACTGACGCATACAGCATTTCATTAAATGATTATGTTTTCAATAGCTTTCAGACACAGGTGTCTGCTTTCCGCCTACACAACTGTGAAGCCAACAGGAAACTGAAAGTCACCTGGGAAGGTCAAGAGCTTGAACATTGTTTCCATCCTAAATATCTCGGTGTCACCTTAGATCGATCACTAGCGTATAGGAAACACTGCTTGAACACCAAGCACAAAGTAGCTGCACGCAATAAAATCCTGCACATGGGGTGCAGACCCACAATTAATAAGAACATCAGCCCTAGCCTTGTCTTACTCAACTGTCAAGTATGCCTGCCCTGTTTGGCATAGGTCTGCCTATGCAAAGCAGGTAAACATAGCATTGAATGAAACATGCAGAATAATTACAGGATATCTTAAACCTACACCTGTTGATAAATGAATCTCCGACCTATCGGTCTTCAGTCCTGCCGGAAAAAGGGTTTAACCCATTGTGCCACCGGGGGCTCCTATGTATCAAGCTCAATTTAGGCCTTTCAAAACAAGACGAAGTAGTAATTGCTCTGCATGCAGAAAGATCTCAATTCAATCACCAGCATATTCATTCTTTTCGCATTTAATAAGTATCAAGGCAAGTACCTGGGTGAGTTATCTCCAACTTAAGACCTGAACAACTGCTGCAATACAAGAACAGAAAGACTATCAATCTTATGCTCTGGAACAGGATGCCCCCTCCTCTCCCCTCCTGTAAAGCCACCCATCACATCTTGCTGACACAGAGTCAGGAGCGACAGGGGCTCCAGAGAACAGAAGGCCTTATTTCTTTACTTTGGGGGGGGGGGGGAGAGCAGGGATGGGCGGAAGACATGCCACCCATGTCGAGACAACACTGGCATGGGGTGGGGTTGTACGGCCACCACCACCTGCCAATGACGCAGGGTTTTGCTCCCTGTGTGTGGCTGCAAAATTTTCAATGTTGGTTCGTACTGCTTTTGGTGTTGTGTGGAAGTGTCCACAGTGGGTGAGCCCCTGTTTACTGGTCTGAAAGGCATCATAAACCCTGGTTAAGCAAAAGATGGGAATGAGAGGCCTGCCAGACAAGAGAAGCATAATCAGCCCAATAGCTGCTGCAATACTTTCTTGTCAATCTGAAATGTGGAAACACTTAGCAGAGTCTGAAGTCTTAAATCAGTGTTTCTCAACCTTGGGGTCGGGACCCCTGAGGGGGTCGCGAAGGGGTGTCAGAGGGATCCCCAAAGACTATAAGAAAACACAGTATTTTCTGATGGTCATGGGGGTTCCATGTGGGAAGCTTGAGCCAATTCTATCGTTGGTGGAGTTCAAAATGTTCTTTGATTGTAATGAACTATAAATCCCAGCAATTACAACTCCCAAATGTCAAGATGTATTTTCCCCAGACTCCCTCAGTGTTCAGATTTGGCCATATTGAGTATTTGTGCCAAGTTTGGTCCAGAACCACCATTGCATGAGTCCACAGTGCTCTCTGGATATAGGTGAACTACAACTTCCAAACTCAAGGTCAATGCCCATCAAACCCTTCCAGTGTTTTCTACTGGTCATGGGAGCCAAGTTTGGTTCGAATCCATTGCTGGTGGAGTTCAGAATGCTCTTTGATTATAAGTGAACTATAAATCCCAGCAACTACAACTCCCAAATTACAAAATCAATCCTTCCCCAACCCCACTAGCATTCACATTTGGGTGTATTGGGTATTTGTGCCCAGTTTGGTCCAGTGAATGAAAATGCATCCTGCATATCAGATATTTACATTACGATTTATAACAGTAGTAGAATGACCGTTATGAAGTAGCAACGAAAACAATATTATGGTTGGGGGTCACCACAACATGAGGGACTGTATTAAGGGGTCATGGCATTAGCAAGGTTGAGAACCACTGTCTTAAATGCTAAGCAAGTACGACCATCTTACACATATTGAAGTGCCATACAAAATTAAGATATTTATGTATTTCACTTAATAAGCGGGTGAAAGCAGTACTGCTTCTCCCAAGAAACTGTGTCTAAAATGGCACCCATATTGCGAGAATCACAGTTCTGAGCAAACATGCTCAGGAGTATATGAGAGAAACCACCATACATAATATGAACATAAGCAGAGCTTGCTTTCTGACACTAATAAGAAAAACACATTAAAAGTATTCCTTGTATTCCTGCATAAACATGTCGCTTTTAGTCCAGTTAGTTTCTGAATTACTATGAAACTATTTTTTATTTCGTATCAATAGCATTGCATAAATTAGTATAAAATTGATAAAAATAGAAGGTGTGCAGGCGGCTAAATAGCTTTTGATCAAAAACGGGCAACAGCAACGGCATTGTCTGTAGCCTCCAACAATTCCTCCTCTGTACATGGGGCAGGGCACAATGGGCAAGCATACAGATGCAGAGTTGTCTGTTCTGCTCCACAGTCACACAAGGTGTAGGATTCTTTTAGGTAGTGCCATTTTGCCAGGTTGTCTTTTGATCTGCCCACTCCGCTTTTGAATCTTTGTACTATTGAGACTGAAAACATCTCTTTTTGTCCCCTTACCTTCCCCTGGAAAAATGATGTCAGTCAGGAAAAGAGGGAAACGCTTTCTCAGATAAAGCAAGAAAAGAATGGCATTTGAGGGCTGAACCCTCCTCATCGAGATAGTGAATAACTGCATACCATATGCAGTGGAAATACAACTGACATTTATGTGGCTACAATTATGCAGTCATCAAACCCCTCACTTTAGGTCCTGTTGAAATTCAGTACTTTATACAAACTTTAGGTTATAAATCCTTCTGTCTACGCACTGAGTTGAATGTGGGGGCTATAAATCTTCAGGTGGTTTCCTGAACAGCTTAATTCCTAAAGAATTTGCAATTTACAAGGCATATATGTAGGCAAATCTATTTCTGGGGAGATGATGTGGGGAGTAATTCACTTAAAATAACATTTTAATGTAAAAAGTTGCATCTTGGAAAGTGGGCAACTTTCTAAAACATGAGTGTGCAGTACCCATCTAATTCATGCTGAGGGTGGCCGTATCTTGCTGTTGTCATCATTATGTCACCAAAATTGTGCTAGTACCATGCCAGAAAATGTGGGCCTTTTTTTCTTTAAAATTCTGATTACACTACAAGTAAAAAAGGGGGAGGTGTACAAAAGGAGCAATTGGTCATGCATATGAAATTCCTAAAACAATGGTAGTAGATGGAGGTTACTGTGATCTAAGAGTGTATGTTATTGTCGATTTTGTGCAGCTTTAAGTACAAGAATGTGTGATGAGGGACAAAAAAACCTTTACTATGCCTTTTACTATACATAAAGACAATTAATGTAAAAACACATAAAGGAGACCATGTAGAAACAGTGGTTCTCAACACTTCTAATGCTGTGACCCCTAAATAAGTTCCTCATGTTGTGGTGACTCCCAACCATATTTTCGTTGCTACTTCATAATGGTAATTTTGCTACTGTTATGAATTGTAATGTAAATATCTGATATGCAGGATGTAGTTTCATTGTTACAAGTTGAACATAGTTAGAACATAGTGATTAATCACAGAAACAATATGTTCAGGGGAGTATAGACAATGGATGATGGGATTTGCAGTACCTTCAACTGATGCAGCTCTGACTTCCACAGACCACTGAGACCCCCACTAATTACAGACCTGGAACAAACTTGGCACACAGAACCCCAATGACCAATAGAAAATACTGGAGGGGTTAGGGGGGAATTGTCAGTGATTTATGGGAGATGTAGTTCACCTATATCTGGAGAGCACTGTAAACACAAACGACTATGGATCTGGACAGAACTTGGCACAAATATTCAATATGCCCAAATCTGAAGACTGGTGGAGAGTTTGGGGAAAATAGACCTTGGCATTTGGGACTTGCTGGGATGTTTAGTTCCCCTTCTTGGAAGAGATATCCCGTGGCCAGAGTATCTAGCTTGGTCTTGTCAATTACTTTCACTGCTTGCTACCTTTTCACCTCAGAGTATATATATACCATGAGGAGACAGAACATTAATTCCCTCTGAGTTCTGGTTCCACCAACCACAGTCCAAACTGTTACTAAGAATTGCATTTATGGTGATTTACCCATTTATTTCTATAATTCTTTTTCAAAAGAAAACAGTTGAAGTTTGAATGCCAATATTTTATTTAATTACTTATGATTGCTATCTGTTCTGATCCCATAATCTGAAAAAACTACTGAGTTCTAAAAAAGACTACAAATGCTTACAAGCTAACAATAAAGATGGACAAAAAGGCTTTTAATGCCTACTTCATGGTCTAAAGAACACCCAGAATTGTTTTTTCTAAGATCATTTTTCTTGGTCTCTATAATTTCTCTCATTATTTTAAAGTTAAAAAAAAAACACATTTCTACAAATGGACTATTATCCATTTACTACAGCAGTTCTGGGTTATGTATGCATGAAGTTCTAGCAAAAGGCAAAGGAAATAGTTCTACAATCACCCCCTTTTTTCCACAGTGCCTTATTGGAATGCATATTTCCCCACAGTTATCTAGAGTTTTATTAGATAGATTTAGAAGGATTATACATTTACACATTAAACAGCATTTTACTCCTTCCCACCACCTCCCACTCACAAATCAGGAATAAAGAAAGCTTTTTTGGCCAAATGTACTTACACATGTTTCTCGTTGGATACACTGTAAGATTCTCTTGGCAGGAACCAGGAAATCGATTAGACATCTGAGACCATCTCCATGATAGAATTTTTCAACAATGCTGAAAAGTTGCCACAAAACAGTAGCAGCTGTGGCCTCAAAAGGTGGATACAGAGAGGATAGTGTATTCTGGATATAGTTATCAAGTGATTCTGAATCCTAAAACAAAAAGATGGAGTGTTATCTTATGAGGGGAAATACCTCAGTAAGGATGAATTAAATACAATCCTTTAATATGGCTTTGAACCATGTCATAGAGGCGGATTCTTTAAAAGCGTATCAGTTCTTCAAGTGAAATTATTAATAGTGCTCAATTGCTGTCGCAAGAAGGCAATTCTATTGGCCAGTATCAACTATTGCCAAAGCACAATGTTTAGCTGTCATGCTATGGAATTGTTGTACTTTTCATTTTGTCAGAATGTATCCCAGGACAGGACTATACAAGGCAAATCAAGCTGATCTGGACAAGGGAAGAACCCTGGTCCACCAGACAGATCGGTATTGTAAAGTATTAGTACGTACACATAAAAATACAAGGGGAACACATATTTTATGGGGTTAAATCCAATTGCTAGCCTAAACTACAGTCAGCCTCCTACATTTGCGGGTTTGACACCCATACATTGGAATATTTGAGGGCTTCCCAACACCTCTCAAGACTCCCCACACTACCACCCCAAGGCCGCCATGTGCACATTCACATAACAGTATCAGGCTCCAAAGGCAGGAGCACCAGCAAAGCCCACAACTGCTGCCAACAACCTCTGAAGCTGTCTGCTCTGTGGACTCTGGGAAGGATTTGAGTAAGATGATCAGTGAAAAGTCCATGATGGATGGAGCCTTTCCTTTGCTAACCATCCCTTTTGCTTTGGTCCACAAAGGTCCTACATATTCTCAGTGACTTTTTCTCCACTTGGTCCCACTCCCTGGGGTGATAGGCTGAGAGGCCATGATGGGAGTGCCGGGGGTTGAGCTGTTTCCCAGAACTGGTGGCTAGCAGATCAGGAGATGCAAGTGACCACTCTTCAAATACCTTAGGAGAGATGATGGAGTCAGAATAGAAAATACTCGACTGGATGGATGTGGTCAGACCTAATATGAGATAGCCTCCTACGTCTGTTATGCTTAACAATACATAATTTATTATAAATATTGAGATGTATTTAAAGATAGGTTATATTCTGAAAACAAAGATCGCTGTTGATTGCTATTTCTTCCTTGAGAAAAGTTTCAGGAAGCCCGGGGATAGACCATGAACTGCTTATATAAAAAATTAGCATAAAGCTAAAAAATACTAAAACAACGATCATGTCAAAATACAACCTGAAGAACATCCTCACAGAATTTCAAGATAATTTGATAAATAGGTTTGCTTTTTTAAGTATAACAGATCAAGGGCTAGAGTGGTGGTTCTCAACCTGTGGATCCCAGATATCTTGGCCTACAACTGTCAGAAATCTCAGCCAGTTTACCATCTGCTAGGATTTCTGGGAGTTGAAGGCCAAAACATCTGAGGACCCACAGGCCGAGAACCACTGGGCTTGAGGAAATTTGGACTGGAGCCAGGGCCACTGCCATGGAGGAATGCAAAAAGGCACTATCTGTAGCCAAAACAGGACCACTATCTGTAGCCAAAACAGGACCCTCAATACATGAGATGAAGCTCTTCAAGCAAATTAACAAAAGACAAGAAGCAAAAGTAAAATGTTACAGAAATAGAATCAGAATCCCAAATACAACTGTCCAACAATTTGAAAGCAGGGACAAAGAGAACTACTATAACAATAAATTAAGATAAACAGAAGGTGACAACAAAAGGTCTATTTGATTTTAACATGTTTCTCCCATACAGTTAAGGGAGGCTCATCTTACGTTAGAGCAGAAAGGGAATGATTCAGTCATATCTGCACACATAGTCTGTTTATGGGAATCTCCCTCCAGTTCCTTTGCCTTTGTTGTCTTTATTGCCTGTGTTGCCCTTCCTGTTGTAAATGTTACTATTATTTTCTTTGCTTCCCTTGGAGCCTAAAATTATTCAGCCATCTGTTGTACTATGTCTTCTCTTGCAGTAATGAAATAAATGGGGGACATGAGAGAAGCCTCCCTACAGGAAAGCAACACATCCAGGCGTCACCTGGGCAACGTCTTTGTAGATGGCTGATTCTCTCACAACAGAAACAAACAGAAGGGACTTGCAGCATGCAACCAAACCAACCAACAGACCTTTTCAGGACCACCTATGACAATAATCTCAATCAACATCAAAGGCATGTCAGCTGCCAAAGAACAGCTTCCCTATGAACTATGCTGAGATAAGAAATGTGATGTGTTGTATGTCCAAGAAACACACAGGGATAAACAACAGAAATGACCAAAAGTTCCAGGAATGATCTTAGTAGCAGAAAGACCACATGAGCTGTATGGAAGCTCTGTCTTTGTAAAGCCAGGCCTCCAAGTCAGCAGTGCTCATAGCACTGAAGAAAATAATATAGAGCTTAATTACATCATGATTACCTCTGTGTACAAGCCCCCAAATGAAGACTTTTGTTTCTCCTCTCCTGTTGTGGTTCTGCCTGTGATTGTTTCATTGCCTGAGATTTCAGGGGATGGTGCTCAAGGTTCTGCAGTTCCACAGGGGTCTAGAAATGGGAATTGTGGGCAGGAGAATCATGTTAGTCATGATGAAGCTGAGGATTCTGGGATGGTCAAGCCTGTGATAGATGTTGTAGTTGATGTTTCAGTACAGGCAGAGCCTGTGTTAGCTTTCCCAAGAGAGTCAAGGTCGGAATGTGAAAAGAATGTGCTAATTGGGGATTCAGAAGAAGATGACTCCTTCAAGGTAGAGCGTCAGATCTGTCAACAAAGACAGATGGCTGAGGGGAGACCTCGCTCCCAACGATTAATAGACAAGAAGAAACCTCCCGAATCTTCCCAAGGGAAAAAGCATAGCTTTTTGAGTATATATGAGGGATGATTGAGGCTGATTCCTCAGAGGAATCAAGGTCCAGGTTTAAGGGCTATATGGCCATGTTCTAGAAGCATTCTCTCCTGATGTTTCACTAGCATCTATGGCAAGTATCCTTTGTCTTGTTCTTTTTTGTGATTTCTTTTGTGACATTTAACATTTGCCTTGGTTCTATTATATCTTTAAGGCCCTGCTGAATTCTGATTTCAGTTTGACAAAGCTTTCTTAAATCCCAATATCACTTACAAAATCTGTAATTGAGACATCTTTAGGTGTTTTTCATAAGCAAACTGCAGGGTATTAATTATAGTCTTGCTATCCATTAGCAGAGATCATAAAATTAGTTACTTCTTGATATGGCTTCATTGGAATGTGGACTGTTATTTCTCCCTTTAAGTTAATGTTTTTAAAATTCTGGGCATTTTATCTTTATCTTAGTTTTGGTGTGTTCAAAAGTGTTGTATATTTATTAATAAAAACGTGTTTAAGCTTCTGCATCAATCTTCACCTCCAAAGCAAGACAAATAAAGGGTGGTCCCATTTTCAGCAGAAAAAGAGGAGGTTGCATGTTCATAACTTTTCTAATCAAATTTAGCCAGATTTATTTCAGGAAGCAAAAAAACTTGCCTTAAATTGAGGTTCTCAATTTTCACTCTTCTTTACATTGAGTTATTAAACCAATGGTGGGGTGATTTTCTTGGAGCATAAGGGCTGGGGTAAATTTCACATTTCTTATCTCAGCATACATATGTCTATTTATATACCTTGGGATCCTGCAAGGTTTTATGTTTCTGAGATGTTAATTTCCCTTGTCAAAGGGACTGCCGTCTCTCTGGGTGCTGAAGTGCTAATGAATAATACAACTTCCTTTTTTTGGTGACGAACCACTACAAATTAAATGATAAATGTTTCCTTGCTTGATAGCTTTCATAATTCTTTTTCTTTTGATTGGTGTTCCTATGTCTTTAAAACTGAAACATCATATTTGTTATAGAAGAAAATGCTAAAGACCATAAGAATATTTGAGAACACAAAAGGGTAAGATGGTAACAGGGTTGACCAGCAGCTGGGCTATGTTTTGCATCATCACAACCACACCAGTTTCTCTCCATCACTCTCTTTCTTCATCCCCACTCGTTATGTTACCCCAAGCCTTCACTGAACAGAGTGTGCATCAACCACACAGATGTCATTGGTAGTTATGCTCCCGGGTCTTGCAAGGATAGAGAAGTGATCATCCCTTGGGGTTGTGGGTGAACAATGTGTTCATGTGAACTGATGGATGCAACAGCTGATTACTACCAAGCATGTTGTGTGCTTGTTTCACCTGATGGCAAAACCCTTTGCCAATACAAATTGCATGTATGTATATATTTGTATGTTTTAGTTTACATTACTACTTGGAACTTCCTCTGCTCACCTGCTGTCCTTTTGCCTGCTTATTCAGAGTGCCTTGCTCATGATTCCCAACAGGTGATCCAATTTCACCCAGCATCTGCTCTTTTGACCCTTTTAAATTATACATGAACTGATGAAAGCTCAACATTTTTGAAACTTGCAAATAACAGACAAGTTCCATTAATTTGATGAAGGGTCCACATTCTCTGTAAGTAAGCCTTGGGCAGAACTTAAAGAAGAACTGAGGAAAAAATGAGGAAAGATCAGGTCTCTCGCTGAATTAATTACATTTGCCTGTATTTTACATGCTTCAAAACAGCAAATGTCAAATAATGAGTTAGCAAAAACTGGGGGTTGCCTGTATGCTTAATTTACATTGGCAGGAAGGCAGTCACTGATGATGATGATGATGATGATGATGATGATGATGATGATGATGATGATGATTACTGGAAAGTGGTTTGGAAAGTGTCATATTTCTCTTGTCTTCGGTTACTTTAATAGTCGGCTTCTTATTGATGATCCTTTGAGTTTCGTTCATAAATTTCTGATATAAATTTATTTTCTTTTTTTATGAATTCCAAAAAGCCTTTCCAGTCAGTTCTATGAGGTTTTACATTATTTTGTGATTTTTGTGTGCATGAGTATATCCATATTCATGATATCCATTGTTTTTAAGATCCATTGCTCCACTGTGGGTATTTCGTTAGACCTCCATACACTGGCTAAAATAATTCTAGCAGCTGTCGAAAGATAAAAGAAAATCTTTTCTGAGTTTTTGTCTATTTAAAAGTTT